GGAAGCATCTACCCATCGATGGGTAGGTAACTGTTGGCTTCAAAACTGAAGGAAAATTGGCTTACCAGCGATGGGTAAGTTCCAAACATCGATGGGAAGCCAATATCCTGCAGATCCCAAATTTATTCAATCAAGCCAATCACCCCTTTAATGTATTGGTCCGTTGGAGCCTATTTTGGCACTATAAAAAGGGGTGTTTGGGTCTGCTTTTCTCATCAATTCACTTCACTTTATTCATATTATCATTGCATCCAAACAACATTATTTTCCATAGCTTTTTAGAGCCAATTTGTGAAGTTTGAGTTGTTCTTGAGCGTATATAGTTTACTCAACATCAACTCTTAAAGAGAGTCTTGTTATTGAGTGTTCTTAGTGTTGTAAACACGTTTAGGGAAGCTTGTTTCCCTTGGTTGTACGAAGGAAAAGTATTTTCCTTCGGGTTGAAGTCTTGGAGTGCGGTATCTCCGAGCAAGTGTATTGAGGCTCGTGGGACTCGAGTTCTCAGGTTGTAAAGGTTTGTTAAGCACCCGTAAGCTTAACGGAAGTAGTGTAGCTCGAGAGAGTATCTCGGGAGGCTGGATTAGCCACAAGTTGTGGTGAACCAGGGTAAATCTTGGTGTGCTCCCTTTACTCCTTTTTATTCCGCTCTTTACTTTATCCCTGCGATTTTTATTCCGTGAAAATTTATAAACATTCTCGTGCCTCACTATTCACCCCCCTCTAGTGAAGGGCACTTATTCTAACAATTGGTATCGGAGCCTAACTCTCTACAAGCCTTAACCGGTTGAGAGAACGATCTATATTTTTTTTGTTGAGAATGTCGTATGCAGGATTAAGTGAAGGACACTCCACCGTTAGACCTCCACTCTTCGATGGAACAAACTACACCTATTAGAAGGAACGAATGAGGATTTACATTCGGTCAATCAACTTCCAACTATGGTTAATCATCAAAAACGGTGAGACGATGCCAATGAAAAAGGTTGGTGAAACCACCATCCCAAAGAAGAAGGAAGAATATGATGCTGAAGACATCAAGAAGGTAGAAGCTTTTGAAAAAGCTAAACACATAATTTTTTGTGCAATTAATCTGGATGACTACCGGAAAATTTCTTCTTGCTCCACCGCAAAGAAATGTGGGATAAGCTTGAAGTAACATACGAAGGTACGCCTCAAGTCCGTGAAGCTAAAATTGATTTTCTAACCCATGAATATGAGTTGTTTAAAATGAAGGAAATTGAAAGCGTTGATCAAATGTTCGACCGATTTTTAAAGATCATCAACGATCTCCATGTCCTTGGTAAAACATACTCGAACAAAGATCTTGTTCGAAAAATCCTTCGGAGCCTAACACCGGAATGGCGTTCAAAAGCCGATGCCATATATGAGTCGATTGGTAACACCAATGTCACCATCGATGGTCTTCGAGGTAATCTTAAAACTTATGAATCCACTATTCTTAAACCTTCTCTTGACAAGAGTCCCGGTCTCGCTCTCAAAGCCTCATCCTCAAAAAGGGTAGAGGTAAGTGACTCCGATAGCGATGACCATAATCCTTCTTATAACTTGCTCGAGAAGTTCCAAGAGTTTTTGAAGGAAGAACTTGGGTCCCGAGATTGTAAAAGAAAGGGGGAACCTGTTCCAACGTGCTTTGGTTGTGGAGAACTTGGCCACATAAAGCCATATTGCCCAAACCGCAAGGAAAAGAA